TGTTCATCATGACACTTAAAAGGTAACCTGAGCAGCAATGTATTCACTAGTGGCATATGGATATCCTTTTATCTCTGAACACGCATTGTCAGTATTCAATTTTAATGTATATTCACAAGTATTCCATGCATCCTAATCTTGCATTAAATACAGTTTAGATAATAAATGATTTTTAAATAATGCTGGCACAACTTAATTCACAAAAAGGTCGCATCCCACTTTTTTGCAAAAGAATTTGGCATAAAATCTGCAATGATTGTGCAGTGAAATACAGTAAACTACTAAGGCAATCAGAGGTTAAGTGACTTGCCCAGGGTCATACTTCTAATAAATGCCTAAGGTTGCATTTGAACTCAGGTCTTCTTTACTGGGGGCCCAGAGCTCTATCCACTGTGTTACCAACTACCTCTAGGTGCTAGAACAAATCTAATCCTCTTCCTCTATGTGACATCTGTTGTTTGTCCTTCATTTTCAAAGAGGACCAATGACATCAAAGGGTTATTTCTTGACTTGATGATAAATTGGATTTAAATGAGACAGGATTGCACAAAGTCACCAGCATCACTGTCTCTTCCAGAGTCATTGAAGCCCAGTGGCAGAACAAAAGTCAAGATGACTGTCAATGGCCTGGGATTCTTACACATCTGACCCTGGTGTCTTACACATCTGACTGAGCTTTAAGCACTCCACACTACCTGCTTCAACTGCCTTCATTGGCTACTTCACGGAACAAATTATTCTCATCTGCCCATTCTGCTAGGGGAAGTCTTCATATACTTGGAGTAGACTTCCCCACTACCTTACCGATGGGTTTGTGGTCTGTTGGTTACCCTTCTATTGGTTTGGCCAGGTTTTACCAGGGTGTGGCTGCTGCGCATGTTACAGCTTCTTGGAGTCATAGGTGAGAGTTGGGTGACAGATGGCCACCAAAGTTGGATGAGCAGTGCTGCAAAGGGCTCAGCAAATCCTCACACCAGAGGTCCTAGTCTTTTATGAACACCCCATATCTCTCGTGTGGCTACTATTGAACTGCTTCACAACAAACATCATCTTCTGCTAAGTTTTCTCCAGGCTCAATGCCTAGAATTTTTACAGCCAGTTTTTGAGAAGAGTCTTGAAGTCCCTCCTCTCTCCAGCTTGTCAACGTTCTTCTTAAACATGATGTTTGGAACAGAGTAGAATACTACATATTTACCTGACCATTGGAAAAGTACCAGAGGACTCTCAGCTCTTATACTTCCAATGCTATGATTCTCTTAATACAGTTTAAGTTTGCATTAGGTTTTGGGGGCTGCTAGTTTTACATGGTTAGAATGCAATCCAATAAAATACGCACATCTTTTTCACATAAATTTTTGTCAAGACATGACTTCTTACATTTTACCTGTGAAATTGTATCCATTTGTCTCTATTCAATTTCATCATATTATATCTAATTCATCATTCTAGCCCAGGGGTAGGCAAACTATGGATTTGGCACCAAATCTGGCCCTCTGTCAGTTTTTGTATGGCTCTTAAGCTAAGAATGGTTTTTTATTATTTTTTCACATTTATTTTAATTCTAATTTATGGAATAAGACAAGCATTTCCATGGCATAGTATAATAAAAAAGATGATTGTACATGAAATTGCAAATCTCTTATGTATACCTGTTATTCCTTTTAAATATATAAGAAAGTTATTATGTAAATTTCTTTTTTTTTTCTTCCTTCACCCACTTCCCCCACCCTAGAGATGGCTACCTTTAGACACAAATAGGTATACACACACGTGTAAAATTATTCTATACATAATTCTGTTTATCAGTTCTTTCTCTGGATGCAGATAGTATCTTTCTTCATGTGTCCTTTATAGTTAATTTGGCTGCTTATAATAGTCAAAACGACTCATTTACTCAAAGTCATTCTTAAAATAATGTTGCTGTTACTGCATAGAATGTTCTCTTGATTCTACTCATTTTACTTTTCATTATTTTGTGCAAGTCTTTCCATGTTTTTCTATGATCATTGAGTTCTTACATTTTAAAATACAGTTTTATTGTATTTTAAAATGTAAAACCCATTTTTAACTCTCCTACTATATGAAAATAGCGTCAACAGGATTTAGCCCTTGGACAGTAGTTTGTTATCTCCTGTTGAGATTTTTTTAGGGGTCGGGGGGATCCTGTCATCCAATGTATTAGCAGTAATGTTTGCCCCCTGTAAATTTGACAAATAGACCATCTATGCCTTTTTCTAAGTCATTTATCCCGAGTATAAGACTAAGAATAGATCGTTGGAGACCAAGGATAGATCCTTGGAGAATGCCACTAGAAACTTTCTTCTAAGTTGACATTGAAAAGGTCCAAGATGATATTAATGACTACCTTTCGAATGTGGTCAAAATAATAGGTTTAAATTCACTTCTCTGTACTATTTTCTAGCCCACATATCTCTCTTGTCTGCAAGTCCAGTGTGAGGGACTATATCAAGTTCACTTGCTCATTCAATCTGCCTCCAGTTCCCTTACCATCTTGGTTAATTCCCTTTGGATGAATTCTAGTTTTATGGTGTGTCACAAAACTCAGAACAATACCCCTGAGATGGTCAGAACAGAGCGGAGAACAGAGACCACTGCCACAGACTCATATAATGCCAAGGCTGATAATTTCTTGCACTCACTGCCTCCATTTTCTCACCACCTTTAACCCCTTTCAACCTGGCTTCCATCCTCACCACTCTATTGAAGCTGTTCTCATTAAGGTCATTAATGACATCTTTAGAACCAAACCCCAATAGTCTTTTCTCCTTTCCTCATCCTTCTTGACATCTCTGTGGTATATGGTACTAGAAAGCCCCTCCTCCTTCTTGATTCTTTCTCCCTGCCTTTGTTTCTACAGTATGACATGGCATTCCTATGGTTCTACTTCTATCTCTGCCTATCCCTTCTACATCTTTTTTTTTTTTTTACCTGGATGCTCTTTCTTCTTTCCTCTTAAATGCCACAATATTCTAACCTAGGCCTTCCTCTCTATATGTGGTCTTTGCCTTAAGAATATAATCTATCTCCACAGCTTCAATAATCTTCTTTATGCAAATTGTTTTTTCTATACCCCAATGACTCTGAAAACCTCTAGCTCTTTTAGTTCCATATTTCCATGTACCTGCTGTATATTTCTTCTTAGGCATTCTATCAGAACCTCCAATTCAACATATTTAAAACTGAATTTATTATCTGCTTTTCTAAACCTTCCCTTCCTCTTAAGCTCTCTATTTATGTTAACGGCTACACCATCTTCACAGTCTCCTAGGCTTAAATTTGGGAATCATCTTTGACTCTTCTTACTCCCTCACCCCATTTATCCAAACAGCTGTGAAGTCTTGCCATTTTTATCTGTAATTTCTCTCTCCCTCCTTCTCTTCTTCCTTCCCTCTCTCCCTTACTCTCTTTTTCTCCTGTGCTTGAGCCTCCTCTCTGCTGCTAATGCAACTATCCTAGTTCAAGCTTTCATTTCCTCTTGCTTATCTATCTTCAAGCTACCCTTTAGAATGCTACCCAAATAATCTTCCAGAAACTAGTACGATGATACTCCTTCTCTATTCATAAACTTTCAGTGACTTCCTATTACATACTGAATGAAGTATAAACTTCTGGCTCTTGTATTCAAGGCCTTCCACAATCTGGTTCCAAATTATTTGTCCAACTTTATAGCATATCTTTATGTATTTCCACACAAATTGGACAATTTTCTTTCATTCTAATCCTCCCCTTTCCTACCTCTGTGTTTTTGTTCATTCTTTTTTTACCAGGACTGAAACGGACCCTTATCACTATTCCTCTCACCACCTAACCTCTCTCTCCTCTCTCCATCTGATCAAGCCCCTATTTTCCTTTAAAAATCAGTTCAGATATTACTTCTTTCATAAAGACTTCCCTTGATTCCTCCAGGTGAAAGGGATCTCTTTCTCTTAAAATTTCTTCTAGCACTTTGGCAGGACTTTTTCTTTGTACGCTCCTCACTGTCCTTTTTATTATAGTTATTTGTGAACTGTTCTCTCCACACCCAATTAGGATATTGGGACTCAAATGGAGCTACTTTATCATGCTTTAATCCAAAATCACTCTGGCTGTCAGTGATTGGCTGATGGTAGGTCCCAGACCAAGCCTCACTTGCTCATTGTTTGGGTTTTGATGGCTCAGAGTGAGTGTAAATAACAGTTGTGTCCATTCTGGCCAGAAAACCTGAGGGTCTTCCCTTCCCAGTTTGATTTTTTTATTTTTCTGAGTAGACAAACTAGGCCATCTTTTGCCTCATTTCTTACCTGGCCTTAAATCACTGAATAGGTTTTGCCTCAGACAAATTGAGACCTGGAAAAGACCTTAGCTTAAAAAGGTCAAGGTCTTTCACTACATATGAATTCATCTCATTGTCCTGAACTATGTCTTGCCACTGGACTCAGATGACCCTGGAGGAGAGAGTGAGGCTGATGACTTTGCACCACCTGCCTCACTTCAATTCACTTGCAAGTCAAGACATCACCCTCTTGATGTCATTGGTCCTCTTGAGAACAAAGGACAAACAACTGTGTATAAGCTCCTTGAAAGCCATATTTGTGTTGTACTTATTTTTTAATCTTCTGAGATCATCACAGTGCCTTGCACAGAATAGGTGTTTAATAAACATTTATTGAATTGATTCCTTGTTGTAAAGACCCATTGTTTTCTGTTGACTAAATTTTCCTTTCTCAATTTCCCCTCTGTTTCCATTCTTCTGTTTCCTTCCCCTCAGCCTAATAATCTTGCTCTATTATAGGCATATCATGAAAGAAAGCTGATGTTCAGATATTTTGCATATCTATCTCATCTGAAAATGATTTTTTTGGGGGACCAAAGATCACACCAAGGACACAAATGAAAAAGTTTTCCATGAAGTCAACCATTCTTAATGGATGGTACTGACAACTAGAAACTACAATCTTTGGGTTTACCCAAAGTGCTAGATGGGTGTATTTGCTACTTACTTTGCCTCAGGGGGAATTTTGATATTTCTGGGAGGTAGACTTGGAACTGGTGGTTGTGTTGGGTAAGGGGCTGGAGGGGCTGGTTGAGAGGCAGGATGTGCTGGTGGAGGAGGTGGAGGTGGTGTGGTCACAGAATAAGGCATTGTTCCTTTGTTGGAAACTGAAATGCAAACAAATACAAAGAATTAAGACCTGTTATAAGAGCATAAGATCATAGATTTAGATCTGAAAGGAATTTATAGATAATTTACAGATAATCTTACCTAGTCTAATCTCATTAATACCTATGAAGATATAGTTCTAGAAAGGTGAAGTAATTTACCAAAGTTTACACAGGTGGCAAATATCAGAACTGGGATCTGAACCAAGAACTTGACTCCAAATCCAATCCTTTTCCTGTATTATACTGATTCATTATGCTGGTTACCTTTTTATATATGAAATAAGGATTTTCAACATGGACCTACAAAGAAATGCTATTGCAGGTCATACCACTTTTGATTTTGCCTCAAGTACTCCTGCTTTCCAGTTTATCAAATCCCTCAATTCTCATGATCTGCAGCTTTACTCAACTTCAGACACACACAGGGATGGCCTTTTTCTTCATCTTTTCACAATATAGTTTTCCTTCTACAATCCATAAATTAAATTCCTTTATTAGACCATAACCTTCTGTCTCTTCATCTCTCTCCACATCTTATCCATACTAAATTTATTCTTCATCCTTATAGTAATCTTTGCTCAATCTGCCCTTCTCTGTTTTCCTAGGTGCTAGCCTCACTTTTTCTTGAAAGTCTGTATCCTTCATCTGGATTCCTTTCCTTTTTGTCTTATTGCTACTTAAACCCTTCCAAACTCCAGCCCTGGATTACTCTCAGCATGGATCTTTTTTCAGTCCTGCCCAAGTGGTACAGAACACCTCTGGAAGAAGTCACACAAGTGGGTTGACTCAGTCCACCACAAATTAATGTTATCCAATCTTAGTTGCACTCTTGCTGCTACATGGCAAGCCTTTTACTCTTTCATTATTAATTCCTTCTTATTTCTCAGAGCAGCTATTCAAAACTTTCTCTTCTCTCCTCAAGTCACCTACATGATCCCTTACTTCAGTTAAAAAAGTAAGGCCATTCTTCAAAACCTGCTTCTCCTGATCCATTCTGTAATTCAAACCACCTTTGTATCAATACCACCTCACTCAACGTTTTCTCTTCCTTTGCTTAATCTCAGAAGATGAGGTGGCTTGGTTCTTCTTCTCTTTCTCAATCTATACACTCTCAGCGATCTCATCAACTCCCATATGTTTAACTATCATCTCTATATAGATATCTCCTAAATCAACATCTCCAACTCTCATTTCTCTTCTAAGTTCCTGGCCTGCATCTTCAATTTCTGCTTTTCCCCAAACCTACCCTTTCTCCTAAGTTCCCCATTTCTTCTGTCAAAGGCATCATCATTTTCCCAGCCACCCAGATTTGCAACTCTGAGTTATTCTCCACTCTTCACTCTCCCTCAGTTCATGTATCCAATGAGTTGTCATTCTTGGCAATTTTACCTTCTTAACATCTCTCACATCCTTCCCTTTCTTTCCACTCATATGATATCCACCTTTATTTAAGCCCTCATCATCTCTGCTGGACTATGACAACGACCTTCTGATTGTTTTCCTTAAATTCAGTCTTTTTCCACTCCAACTCAAACACCCATTCAGCTACCAAAGTGATTTTTTCTAAGGCAGATTTAAGATCATATCACTTTGACTACAACAGTTTCAAAGCTCAAGAAGTTTCAGGGACTCCTCAATGCTTTTTTGATAAAATACAAATTCTTCTGTCGGGCATTTGAAACTATTCAAAATCTGGCTCCAAGTTATCTTTCTAGGCTGATTACAATTGTTCTTCCTCATTCCAGCTTTCCATGTACACAATCTTTTATTTTCTGCCTTCATATCATCCCCTAGTCTGCCCTAACCCCAATGTCCAGAATGCTGTGTCTCTTCATCTCAAGCTCTTGGAACTTCTAGGTCCCTCAAGGCTCAGATTGATCAGATTCTCCCAACTATTAGTGCCCCACCCCAACCTCTTTGTACTTATTTTGTATATAACCTGCATTTACTTATCTGCCATTTCTTCTCTTCCACCCTTGTGCTGCCCAATAGAATCTAAGCTCCGTTAGTATAGGGACTATCCTGTTTTGGTATTTGTATCTCTAGTGGCTAGCACCATGTCTGAAATGCAGTAGGTACATAGTAAAATGTTTTTTGATTAAATCATTATTGTAAAGATCCCTTTTGGGAGATTCAGCCTTCATTCTAACATTACAGTGGATTACAAATCAAAATTTTTCCTATCCAGCACATTACATGGTCTCATAAACTTAGGTAATTTTTCTTCTTGGCTTATCTTTCCAGAGTAATTTTTTTTAAGCCTGTTATATTATGGAACTTCATCAACTTTGTGGTAATTTTAGTCATCCTCATTTGGACCTTCGAGGTTGTTATTTCCTTCTTGATGTGCATTGACCCGACCCACCTGTAGGAATAAAGGCAAGGACAGACTAAAGTTTTTTTCACCTTTATGACAATGCTTTCTGTTCTGTTAAAAAAAAAAAAGCCCTTTTAGATAATTCTTGGCATTTTCTTGGCCTTTTTGACCCTTCAGTAGAAAACTACACCGAAGTCTTCCAAAGACTGTCCTCTTATAAGTAATTCTCTCCTCCTGTCCCCCACCTATTCACTTGGCCATATTGAAGAGCTTTCACTTTTCTTGCATTCACACAGACTTATGGGATTTTCTTTTTTTTTCTTTTTTTTTAGCTTATGAGATTTTCTTGCAGGTTATTCTCCATCAGCGTGGCATTTAACAACCTCAAAAACTTTGTCTTATAAGAGAATGTGAGGATTTGATTGTGTTCTCTCTCTTCCAGATCAGGTATCAAAATGTCAAGTAAATGTGACCCTAGCATTAAAATCCTGGAGGATGGTGCTGCTAACACCTTGCCATCTCAAAAATACCCTTTTTATTCTGCCTTTGTATCACTCCACTATTTATTTTCTCCAATTCCATGGTAGCAGACTCTTTTTAACTCAACTTTGGAAAATTGTCAAAGGATATTTGAAATTTTAATGAGATGCCAAACTAATTGGTTAGGTAGACTATTATTTAAATGCTACTTCCCTCATTAAGCTTGGCAGCATGTACACTAAAACCTTTTTTTTTTTACAATTATAATTAACAGTGAAACTCATTTACTCTGGCAAACTATTTGGTGATAGTCAAACATGTTCAAGATAATGTGTGAATTTATGCAAAAATATCAGATGAAAAATATTATTCTTTTTTCCCTGTGAAAACATCTAGTAGTTTTAGCTAAACATAATAATAGTATTTGTTCAAAACTAACTCTGTATTATAGTGTTTGATAACATGACAATTGGTAATTCTGCTATTCTCTAGAAAAAAATATTATTTTTAGGGACTATAAAGAAGGGCCTAATAACAGTAACAATGGATATTCCTCTGCCATAAAAAACTTATATCACAACAACACTATGAAGTAGTTTATGCAAAATTATTTTATTCCCATTTTATAGATAAGGAAGCTTAAAAATTTTTTAATTTGCATTTTCCATTCTGATACACTTAAAAAAAAAAGGGTATATCATTTGTGGCAAAATTGACTAGTCATCCAAAATAGATAACGTAAGTTCAATCCATGTATTGCTTTGACCAGCACCAGTTTTTCTCTGAGCTTGGACAAGCACCGGACAAGTGCCTGTTCTGGTCATGAAGCCCTGCTATGAATCACACTTATCTCACTGTTGCTGTTACCCCTTGTTATCAGGGCTACAGTGCACCATATAGCCATTGGCATAAGTATTAAGATCTCCACACACTGCCTTGGGTGCCCCCACACTAAGGGCAGGGCCCTGGCACATGTGTCTAGATTCCCTCCTTGCCTACAAACCACTTCCCTCACTTTGAAATTAAAGTTCTGTTTGATTCCTGACTCTCCTGTGTCTAGCCTGCTCTGTTTGGCTCGGTCTATCCATAGGTTAGAGGCTGATTCAGTCTGGCTGACACATTGATGGATAGTAATAATTTAACCTTTATTACAGTAATTCCTCACTTATTCAGATGTCACTGATTATATTAATTCAACTGTCTGGAACACAGGCCTTCTAATTTGTTGCTTCTTCCCTGCTGTGGGAATGGGTTAAATAAATAAACCGTTTAAAACTGTGTCTAAAACAAGATTGACTAATATCTTAAGGACATTAGTCCTTATTAGCTTCTTTTATATGTCAAATACATGAAACTTAGTGCATGACTTTATGACATTTATCTTAGTTGCCTGGAAGTCTTCCTTTCCTTCCTTCTGGTCTTCTTGACTATGTTCCAAATAGTCAAGGTTGTTGAATGAGTAGTTTCTGAGTAAGAGAGGTGTATTGTAAATGGAAATTATTTTGAGGAGATACATAACAGTTATGGATTGTATCTATACATAATGAAGAGAACTGTTCTTTTTGTTAAAATAAAAGACTAACTGATCCAATCAATAAGAAAAATCAGTACAGCCTATTTACTTGGGGAAATAAAGGAAAGGAACAGATCTGAGAGCTATTATAAAGAAAGGCTTGAAAGGAGTTGTCAGCTAATTGCATGTGGGAAACTAAGGGAGGGAAAAAAGACAACATTGAAAATAAGGTTGTGACCCTGGGTGACTAGGAGCAAAGTTATTAATAGAAATAGGGAAGCTAGAAAGAGGCTGAGTTTTGGGTAAAGCATGATGAGTTAGGCTTTGAAATGTAGAGTTTGCAAACAAAATAGTTATTTACTGCCTGCAGAATGGCTAGATAATTTACAGTCTAAAACAGAATGAAGTTAGCAGAACAATTTATACTGTAACATCAACATTGTAAAAACAATTTCGAAACTGTGAGCAACACAATGGTTAATCATGATTCCAGAGGACTGATGATGAAGCATGCTATTTACCTCCCGACACAGAGATGATGCAGAAAGAGATATATTTTTGAGCCTGACAGTATGAGATTTGTTTTGTTTGCGCGCTCTCTATCTCTCTCTCTCTCTCCTCTATCTTCTTTCTCTCCTCTCTCCTCTCTTTCTCCTCTCTCTCATTCCCTTTCATTCCTTCCTTCCT